TCAGAGGAAGATACTGGAGCAAGGAATTTAATGGAGTTGCAGGCAGACTGGAGTCAAACATCAGATCGAAAGATCCACTGCCACAACAGGAAATGTCCAGAGTCGTTTACCGGATTCGGTGCAGTTGTGGGCAAACCAAAACACCGGAAAAACCCAAGAGATTACTCCGGACGCGAATGGCCGAGCACGGAGCAGCGGTGAGGAGAGACACAAGTTTTCAGGTCGCAGTTTACTCAAAACGACCCGCCCGTGTTTTCACGTGTATCGAAGCTGAAATTCTCGCAAGGGATGAAAACCGCGAACTGCTCGACCTTTAGTTCTCAGACCCACAGTCCATTAACAAGCGCGATGACCTGCCGTTCACATATTATGCACTGAGCCTTTGTCTGAGCTGAGGAATCAGTAACAGGAAGGGCGCGGGTGACTAACAAATGCAATAGCAGCGAGCCAAATCGCCCCGTAATTATCGCACCAACTTCCAACACAGATGATGGAATCGCGGCAATTTACGACTCAGACGCAGACTGCCAAGCCATCATCGTATCAAGTACGACACCCAGCGATGAACATGAAAGCTGCTAATTGTAGTATGTGATCATGCACCCACTACTGACTATAAATAGTGCGGACACTGTGACCCTATCACCCTTATCTGCCATTGTCTCTGACGATGGGCTGGAGCGAGAATCCGAAACGTTAGGCTAATAAACTTGTTCCGGTCACCATATTTTCTTCTTCTGAACTGTTTTCTGGAATTAATCTGTTCGCTACTATCAGCGTCTCTCCCTCTAGTTTTTTGTCGGGTAAGATGCCCTTAAGCGGGTTCTGAAAGCCTGATAGTTCATCTTTTTAGACTAAAGTGAATGCGTCGTCTAAGAATCACTGTCAAGATGCCGGCTTGTAGAGGCGTAAAACTACCTTTTCCAGCCTTTGCTCGACACACTGTGCAGTTTAGCTGGATATTGGGGAACCCATTAGTGTCCCATTAATCCGCTCTATATTCTGTCACTGAAGGTGAAAGAGGTACTTTCACGCATCATTGCAATAACGTAGTCTCTAATTATATGCTTCCGCGCGAGTTCAAAAGCGCCAGTTAAATACACCACTGCTAAAGTGACCAAGCGTTCTGTTTCCTTGCAAATTAAAATATACCTTGCACACAAATAATCTCTCCTGTACTTATCTTTAAGAACAGGTCTTAGCTTTCTTTTAAAAGAGCGCCAAAATAGAGACCACAGCCGGAACGAGGATGGGGGGGG